TTCAGCTAAGACCTCTTCAATATCTTTTGTGCAACTGAAACAGTCTAATTCATCTGGTTGATTTTTTGAACTTTTTTGAAATAATACTGATGATGGAGGGCATCTGTCTACATGCTCTATAGTGTTTGGTATGCCTGGGAGATTCGCGAGTATTCTCGGTTTTATTAAAGAAGGAGCTAAATTCCAGCGAGTTTTCGATTCAGTTTCAATTTCAGGTAACGGAGATACTAAGGCAGGTGTATGCGTCGTACATATTTCTGGATCTGGAAATAAGCCGAATATATGCAAGTTATGCCAGAAAATCGGATAATTTAGGTTCAAAATAAATTAATATAAAAAACACTAGATCAGATCATTGTAACTGATGCAATTTATATCATGAGAGTGTTTGAAAAGCTCACATTTTTTCTGTTAATACCGTGTTCAACAATTAATATATTTAAACAATATATATTTATAAACAATATACCATAATAATTGATATAGTCAATTGTAAAGATTTCATTTACTGAAATTGAATTTCTAAATACACAAGCTTTCATGCAAAAAATAGTATAAATTATAATAAATAATAAATTTATAATAAATAAAAATAATAAATATACTTCATTCTTGCAACAGTTAGTTATTTTACAATTTCAATTCATAGGTTGAGAAATTAAATAATAATTATTTTGTTTCAATCTAATTTTAACTATACTTCACTATTTATAATTAACTTTTTTCATAGTTATTAAATTAATTTGAAATATACACATATATATGAATAAGTTCTTCATGGGCAATACATCAAATAAAAGAAAGATTTAGGAGTTAATCTTTAATTTTTCCAAACGTTTTGACATCGGATTTTATGTTATCATCAGTGGATATAAATATGGTCTTACATCCGTAACTTGCGCAGGGCACATAATTTTGCACTATCATATATACACTAACTTGTTTTTTCTTTGTTTTTTGTTGAAAGGAGCATAGCAAAGTATTTGTAAAATATATATTTTGCACCAACTTGTTAGCTAATGTGTATGACTTCGAGGCAATAATGCACACATGCACAATCACACACACACACACACACACACACACACACACACACACACATATATATATATTAACATATATTATATACATATATATAATTTAAATTCATACCATTTTTAGTAGGTGCAGTTTCTTCAGTAGTGTCATCGCTGGAACTGGAACTCTCTGAACCAGATTCACCTGTGTCATTGCTGCTGGAGTTATTATTACAAGCTGGAGATGGACTCCTTACGATAGGTTTAACTTCCAATGCACATATAGCCACAGGCCTATAAACAAAAGTTATCCAACGTTAATTTAAAAATAATAATAATTTTAAACATGTATGTCAAAAACTTACGGATTGCTTATTGGTTTTGGTTGATAATTTGTGGGATGAGTGACATCTTCATCACTGTCATCAGATAAACTTAAATCACGCTCTAAATCCCTGAAAAATAATATAATACACTAAGTTGAACTTGAAAATATATGTAATTGATACAGATTTTTTATTAATGCAACTTACATGGACTGCCTCCCAGAAGAATGCCTTTGTCTATCTGAAATATTTTCATAATTCATAAAACCATTAACTTAATATTTGAATTATTTGATATTCAAAAGGTTTAATTAAAATCAAATAAATATTTGATATTTATAAACTTAACATATATCCTATTTAATTAACAAAATATAACTTTTGAAAAAATAATGATATGAAGAAAACCTAATATTTCAAGCTTCCAACATATAGAGTTAATATAAATATCAAATAAGCCGAATATATGTAATGCAAAATTGCATTACAATAGCAATTTTTGTAAATAAAATAGTAAGTAATAAATTTCCAGAAAGTATGAATCATAAAGTACACAAAATTCAATACTCACAAATAAATATAATATAAATTATCACATTATAATCAACAAATAAGATATAGATCAAGGTGTAAAGTATAAAAATTCAATCAAGTACAAAAACATGTTTTTAAGTGGGAAAGTAACATTTATTAATTAATATGAACACATCTAAATTAACTTACATGTAGGACTAGGAATTGGACTTGGCTTCCGAGGACATGGTTCGAGCACCTAAAATGAGGATTTAAAATAATTTTGCCTTTGTTACATATCAATTAACTTATAATGAATAAAATTTTTTAAAATTCATCATTATACTTATTGAAATATAATAATAAATAAAATAATTACTTTTACAAATCCACTGTTAAATTCAAATTTGTGATCTATTTCTTTTCCCGGAGTAGCAGCAATAGAAGTTAGTGGGGTTAAGGGCAATGAGGTCATTTCCTGAAAAATTAATATCATATCAATATTTAATTTTTTAATAGCTTCATTAATATTGAATAGCTAAAGTATAAGTAAATTATATGGCATATATTGAATAATAATATTACCTTCAAAATAGTATCAACTTCATTACCACGCAGACCTACATCACAGTTATTCTGCAAATAGAATGTACAAGATTTTAGTTTCAATTATTTATTAAATATTAAATAAGCATCTCAAAAAATACAAATCTAATATTAGCAAATGCATGTAAAAACATTTTTGAATAATCAAACAGCATTCATCTACAGGCATAAATTTCAAGAGTGAAAGTTATTAAAATTATTGAGGTAAAAATATGTATGAATTTATAAAGGTATTTACAACTATTACATACCGCATAAGAAGAGGGCATCTCTCTCACCGTATTCTGATAGTTTCCCATATTAGTATTTAAGGTTAAATTTTTATTTAACCCATTCCTGTTATCAAGATTGCTAACAGAATATTTATTGGGCTGCATATGGTATGAAGAACTACTATTAGTTTTAACACTTGGTACATGTTTGCTGGTATCAATTGGGCAAGTAGGTTTGTAAATATTACTCCTATATGATGAAGAAGGTTTTAGAGTATTAGAAGACATCCGCTGAGATGTTGATCCAGGGCACATATTTCCAGTTGGCTTTTTAAATTCGGGTGGTTGAGATCTGTTCTGCATCCCATTACTGAGTAAATTTGAAGATGGTATTCCATCATGTTTATAACGCTTTTTATCATCCGTCCACAATCTATCGTAATTTCCTAATTTCCTCTGAATCTGTTGTCCCATATCATCAGTACATGATGGGCTTATCTGTATTAAAGTAATGCTTATCAAGAACATCCTCATAACTATACTAACTAAATGCAACATACATACTACTCAGCCGATAATAAAAAAACTTAAGTTAGCATAAACTTTCACTATGTTTAAGAAATCCCTGACATATACTATTAAAACATCGAGTTTGTGTGGATAGATTATTACAAAAAAATTACATTTAAAGTAGCATCTGACTCTTGTACTTCAAAACAAAATGTTTATCTAAATCTCATCTCAATCGCAATTTAAATTTTGTGGATAATACAATCATGAAATTTTAACCTGTTTCATATTAATTAAAATATTTTTGATTATTTATAATAAATGACTGGTATGACCCTTATGACCCTCCATAAGCTCAAATATATATCAATAATTAAACATATCTTACTTTAACTGGAGCATCAAATAATTGGTGTTCTGGTTCAGATTCACGTTCGGCTTGTAGTGACATATGAGCTCTGGCTTGTCTTTCTCTCTCGCGAATGCGATCCCTTTCCGCACTAAAAAAAAAATTACCTATTTATCCCAGAAATGATTATTTTTAGGCAACATAAAAAATGATATGTCAAAAACTTACCACATATTACTACAATAAGATCAAATCCAGTTATTCTATATACTGCACTAAACAATACTTTTAATTCAATCAGTTTTCAATAGAAGCTTTCCATTCCCATTTTTCATACAATGACAAAACTCTGAAAAGTGATCATTAAAGACAATAAATGTACATACATCCAAGCTTAATTAAATTTAATGAAAATGCACTTCAAAACAACTTAAAATTAACCCAATTTGCTCTCAGCTCTCAAAAGAAAACAAATGGAATGGTATTTAAATGTCACAAGCAGTTGTCAAAAAAATAAGGTGTATGTATACACATATTAATTTATGGTAAAATTAAAATTGACTAAGCTAATATATTAATATTAATTGAAATATATAGTGCTCTTTTGTAAAAATACTAACAAAAACTTATAAAATGTATGTACATAAATTATAGTAATGTCAGCTTTTACTAAATCAGGTATTGTAATAAAATAATGGATATGTATGTATAAAAAATAATCACCTGGGGCGTTTCTAAATTGAACTTATACTGATTGAATTATATATTGAATAAGTTTTGCATTAAAATTTTGTTGAATGAATTTTACAATATTGATCATATTTCTATCATTTAATTATTCCGATATATTGGCATTAAGGCCGATAAAAATTATACTTTCGATTATAATATCACTTTCAACTTACCGTGGTTTCTTCATGATAAATGATTTATACTATAAATAGTTAAATATAAACCACATATGTCTTGAAAACGAACATATTCCATTTCATTAATATTCCACAAAACACTGCGCACTTAACATGTCCTTATATTTCGGAATATGATTTATTAAATTCCGTCGTGCATCATCTATTACTTATACTGGTCCTGTAAAAGATAATGTTAGACATTTATGAGAGGCAGCTTAATAATTCCGTATGAGTCGGACGTTTCAAGTTATGTATACTTTTCAACAAACTGCTTTTCCATGTTACTTAATTATATCGCAGTACTTTTCTACATCAGAATTATTGTCCATAACACACGCGAAAATTATACTTGACACAGCTCATAAAAAAAACCAGTAGGAATCACTAAATGACATTCATTTAAAAAAAATACTTTGCACAACAACCTCATTTTCCAAAATGTACAAACTACATAAATGAGTAGAAATCAACGTACCTGAACTTGCATTTAATTACAAGATTATAACCACCATTAGAACGCTAAACTACCAATATGGCAAACCATAAACAACTCGAATGCGCTTTCATTTTCGTTTTCATTATAAATATTCTATATTTATTTATTATTATAATTTATGTTCATTATAATTATATTTATATATATATATATATATATATATATATATAATTAATTAAATATTCGTGCTGCATAAGTTGCATACCCCTTTTGTTTTTTTTATTTGTTTCAGTTTTACTCCATACTTTCGCTTTCATGCTTACTTAGAAACGCTTAGAATATTTTGTGACATATATTGTTTTTATTTAATTGCAATTAAATGTCTGCAATTAAGAATATATTTCGAAAGCGAACAAATCGAATAAGATCCTAAGCATAATCTTTGCCTAATGTTAAGTACTTAATACTGTGAACATATGCTCGGGACATGATTTCCAACATAATAATAAAAAATTTAACTGTTTATAAACTATTAAAGAGATATAGTTTTTTAATTTTGAAATATTGAAATTTATTACACATTTTAAACTAATTAAGCTAATATCAAATCGTCCATATACTAATTATTTAAAAAAAAATTCTTTATTCTCTTTTCTTCAACAGTTGATAACAAACTAATTAATCATTTCACAGACAATATACAGACATTATTAGAACAAAAGCACGTTATTTATACTATAAATTTTGTCATTTCTGTTTTCAGTAATGATAAAATGAACATGGTAAATTCATTTATTTCATAAATTGAATAATGCTTTAGAAGAATGTTTTATTAGTTCATCCTTGGAGAAAAAAAATAAAATACATAAAAAATGGAAAAATTATCATTGTCACCAAATAATTCATGCAATTATTAATTTACAGGCTATTGAAGCCAGTGCAACAAATTATAAATTGATGTAAAATTCAACAATAACATCAACAAATAAACAAGAAAGTTGTCAGTTCAATAGAATCCATCATAATAAAATTAAAACTCATCAATATCAAGAAGGCTTTTAACTAAATTATTAAAAAATATATAAGACTTATATTGTTTTAAATTTAAATATTAAGAATAAAAAACATTTTTTTAAATATTTATTTTATTATTTCAATGGGTATGTGGGGTTTTACATTTATTCAACAATACTTCACTTTTGCAACTTATAAAGAACTACTTATGTATAAAAACTCTATTTCATCAAATGCTTTGATAATGGTCTTTTAAAACCAATAATACTGGTAACATTATAACATATAGATATTGTTAATACTATCTCAAGAGAAGTTATAAAAATTAACTGTGATATCTTAATTTCATAAATTAAATTTATACAAATTTACAAGCTAATCACTGGAATTATTCACGCTATTTTAAATGACTGATAATATATTTATAAAATAAAAATGTAATGTTTGTGCATATCATTACACAACAGTTTACCAATATTCTAAATTGCTTCTTTATGAATATCATTACATATATACAATATTAAAATCAAATTAAACTGTAGGATGCAAGATGTCATTTGCAAAATGATATCCATAGCCACGAAATGCATGATAAATTATTAACGATTTATTATAGTGATATATTTATTAGTTTAGGTTGTTATTTACCATGTATTTTTACTATTTGAAAACAACGGCTCATTCGAATAACTATAAAGAGAATCTCAAATCTACAAGTAAAACTCCATCAATTTCATCACTGCAGATGTAAAATATAAATAAATATTATAAATTAATATCATAAAATATTTTACTTTAAAACATAGACTTGACAAACCAAGCTATATTGTTTTGATCAATAAAATATCATAAGTAATGTAGTTTTAAAATATAAAAATCATTTAAACAAAAAACTTGTTAAACTATCAATTAGTTTATTGTTTAATCAATATAAATATGATTATTAGACTCATTCTTTGGATCATTTAACTATTTCATGAATATTATTCACATAGTATGAAAATATGTCTATTATATATGAAGATGTACATCCCTGAAAAGCCTTGGCTTGGATTTGCTTTGCAATACACATCCACACAAAAGTATCTGAGTAAATTCAAATTTAGGAAATATCTAAATGTCTCTATGAAAAATAAAAAGACAGCTGTGAATCTTAAGTAATGAACTGAGGTAACTTTATTGTATATTTTTATATTATTAAAAATGTTCAGGTATTTAAATATGGCAATTTGATGATTTTGTTGATCTATGTAGTATTATGAGATGATATTTTGTTTTAGAACTTTTTCTAGACAATATAAATCTAAAGAAAATGTTCTAAAACTAATTTTATATAAGATTATTAGATATTTAACTAATTAATGAACTAGATATATACACAAAACAACCATTCATCTCAAAACATGAGAGAACAATTAATGCTATCATTTACATACATCATTTACTGATTTGACCTGTATTCAACTATATAACCGATAACAAATTCAAATTTTGTGCTTCATTTAAAATAAAACATGAATCGAGATGTCCATACTTTAATTACATATAATATGCAACCACACCACTCATTAGAGAGAGCAATTTCACCAAGAATAAAAAAGGTATTAACATTTAAGCCATATAAATATTCCATAATAAAACAATAACATAAAAATCATAAAATATGTAATATATGTATGTATTGTAAAAATCAATTGTTATGATTATATACAATATAATCATAACACTATGACTAAAAGCTGCTCAAAATTTAACTTAGGTGGCCGCTGAATTGAAATTCCACTTGTTCCTCAGAACGCAAAGCTCCGCTATTTTGTAACACTCTACATCAAAGTAGATTTTGGTCCCTGCATTCGTATTAATGTGATATTCCTGTATTATTTACCGAAAATCAAATTAGCAAAAATGATAAGCCAGCAAACAATACCAGCACTCTTATGTGTGGAAAATTATTTTTTTTCTTTTATTTTATATATTTAAAGAAACTATTATCAAATCTATCACACAATATCTCCATATTTCGATCATATCATTCAGCGATTGCTCCATCTCTGAAGAAAATTTTGTTTAATCTTATTTTAAGACTATTGGATACCAATAGTTAGTTAGTTTTGGTTTAGTGCTGTAAGTAGTATGAGTATATTTACTGAGCCTGTGAGGGTGCCCTTCTTGTGACAGGACATGGACTAGTAGCTCCACTCTGATATCAAGATTTCACTAGGTCAGCATCAGTTCTTCTATCTGTTGCCATTAACAGCAAATTCTTGAATTCGACCTCTAATGTTTGACGAGCCTAAATTTGAAAATCAACAATATATGAAAAGATAATGAAGAATATTTGATATATTAAAGGAAATCCATTAAATTAAAATATTAAACAAATAATAATGATGCATATGCAACTTTAGAAAGAATTCCAATAAAATAATATCTTTTAAACCTAACAGAAGTTAAGAAAGCTAGCATGTATTTTTCCCAAAATTATTGTAGTTTGGTTAATAATTTTCTTAATAATGGAATAAAAACATACCTGTATATTTTGTGTTGGTATCTGCAATGCCAAGGCCATACTGTTAGCATCAAAACTTTCATCTAGAGCAATCAAAGCACCATGAACCCCAGATTCGAGTAAATTATTTCCAAATTCCTGAAACACAAAATAATAAAAATTATTTTCGGAAAAATCAATTGTATTACTAAAAACTAAATTAAGCTCACTTTTAACCCAATACTACTAATCCATCTTATTATACGTTCATTGCTCCAGACTAAGACATCAGACACCATAGTCTCTGTCATTTTTCTTCTTTCCTCTAGCGCTGTGCGATCATAGTTCAGTCGTTTCAAACATGAAATACCATACTGAAGACTAGTTCTAAAAAAATACAATGATTTTGTGTCAATTGTATTATAGCTTGTTTTTATGCAGATAAATATGTATATATCATATTATCTTTTTATCCTACCTATGAAAACTATCGACCATTTTTAACTGTCCGCGCAAATCTTTCTTATTTAAATGGTCTAGCATTCTTGCGTCCACAAGACATTCCATAAACGTAGTTCTGTACTGAGGTAAACCAAGACCAGGAAGCCAATAATTGCCTATCCATTCGTGATTCATGTCGCCAAAGGCTAATGTTGTGCGCGATGTCTGAGGAGCTGACGGTGAAGTCAAAGATACCATTTCTTGTATTGCTAAACGTAATTTCAGCCTATGTAGAGGGTTACTTATGCCTAAAAAATAATTCATTTATTAATTAATAATATTAATAATATATATATATATATATATATATATATATATATGAAATTTTATATTTATTAAATTTCATTTATTCGTTCTTTTAACCATTTTGCTACGACAGTGTTTTCCGCAGGAATGGGACGACTGTGCGAGCTAGAAAGCCGCCCAACTATTAGTTACGCAAAATATTTCAAGATTTTCCAAAAATAAAGTTTTGTTTATTTCCAATAAAGAGAAATTGAAACGATCAATTACCTATTTCTCGCTGAATTTCCGTGTCACTCAAGGCGCTCATAATCGCTCCAGATTTTACATTAGCCCTGCATGCAGCAACATACCAAGCGGGCATTCCCACCCACAGTTCCAACCAGGCAACTATCGTCGGCCCGTTCCACAAGGCAAATGGCGTGCCAGCTTTCATAGCTTCAGCTAACAGTTCATGTCTATAGTCATGCTCTCTGAATAAAAAAAATCGAAAATAAATGACAATAAATTTAAAAAAAATGTTACTTGTGCAATAATATTCCTACTTCTTTTTCTGCCTTCCATAATCTGCCTTCTGTTGCGTAACTTTCCCTGAATTACTCATTGCATCCACATTGTCTTCTCCGATGGTTGATCCAGCCAATGATAAACCACTCATGGAGTTCATACTTAATGAACCATCTCCTGGCATCCCTGAATCTTTCCCTTTCACCTATACAAAATAATAAATAAAATTTAAAATAGTTTTTATAAGGCATAAGAATATAAGTATATATACCATTCATTGTAGGTAGTAATAATCAGACATGAAAACTTTTCAACTAACCTTTTCCTTCTTGCTGAAGAATCTGCCAAGTGAACTCTTGATGCCCTTCTTCTTCTGTGCGGCGCTGACCGCCGACTCCCTCAGGTGCGGATAAGCGTGACCATGGGCCGACATGGGGGTGTGCACGGCCATATTGTTGTGCCGATGCAACGAGTCTTGGCTGCTGTGACGAGAGGACATGGGTGATGGTGTCGTTGTCATGTAAGCCATCTGGTTGTTCGGCCTACAGTATTTGCAACACACGCACTACAGAGCTACTACATTTCATAATTGCAACACGTTGGATAGCAAATAAAATTAAAGGGATGAAAATAAAGAATGAAAACACGCCTTCAACCGGAACGTTCTATTATGGAACTTACTGAATCACTGATGACAGCAACAAATTCAAAACTTATTTTTCAAATCTTATCAATTGTTGAACCGAAGAAGTATAAATGTAAATATCATATTTTAAACAATGCGTCATACGATGCTATTTTTCATTCGATTATTGAAATGCAAAATCTATATCTGAATAGTGATTCAAATTCCAATAAAAGTGCGCTCGGTCTGAATACAACCTGCTGATCTCATCGCCAGTTTTAGTACACATTGGTAAGATAATTTCACAAACTAAAATCGTTAATAATAATTACTTTCGTAAACTACACAATTGATATAATTGAAAACGTAAAAAGTCTTTTCAAAAGGTACAAATGGTAAAAAAACGATTTTAATTATTCATATAGCTTCACGAAATTGACGATGAAGATCAAATCACTCGATGTCATAGGAGTAAGTAAGGAATAAAACAAGACAATGAGGTAAATGCAACACGGACCCTAAAACACTTCGACAGATTTGTGAAGATTCCGTTATTTTTATGTACATCATGCGATGATACAATTTAAAATATAACAAAAATCTTGAAGCATTGAAATTAGTTCATTTTAATTAGATGAACCGCAATAAAATCATAAAAAATTTTAACATTAAGTAGCATATAGACTGAAGCCGCGCATAACTAACTATTCTTTAAAATGAATCATTTTTATTTAAATTAATAAAATAAGCAGTTGAAGCCAACATTGCTTATTGTAAAAACTTTACGGCGTCAGTCCGAAACTCTAGAAAAGAAATACACACTAGCAAAGTACAAAATTCGTGTATGTATTTTATGTGAGAATAAGTATGTTAAATGTAAAGTACATATACACGGCTAATAGTTTTTAAAGGTCTAATGTATATCTGTATGTACATAATAATAATGAGATAAATGTAACACTAATTGTAAGAAAATATTTACACGCCCATAACATTCGATTGAAATAATTAATTAATTAAACAATGTAAATTTTCATTACTAATTGTAAGCCACGATGCTGAAAATAAAATCACATTCTAAGAATGTTTTTAATTATCTATGATTTATATCATCACAAGCAATGTTTCATAAATTAAATAATTTATTAATGCAGAAAGCGAGCACTATTTCTTCTAATATGTTCTCAAACTTTTAACCTGATATTTGGGAATCCGAGTCCAGTCTGTAGACCCATTGAATGTCTTTATAAGGAAAACAAGATGTATCTATTAAAAATTTTATACAGACCTACACTTTAAATATTTAGTTCATTTGGAGAAATGATATTGTCAAAGCAAAAGCAGTATAATAACATGAAATCCTAAAATTATAACCGGTATTACGTGTACGAGAAAATAATATTTGCTGTGTGATAATTGATAATTTTGGCCATATACCTTCTCAATTCTTCTTGACTGTACGCCAACGCCTGCGCTACACGTTCTAACCGAAGCGACCGCGCTGTAAGTGGAGAAGTTCCGCCAGAACTGCTATCAGCACCTGCAACCATCGCGTGCAGTTCCTCCCTGGATACATCCGCGCTCAGAGGAGCCAATTGTAACTAAAATTAAAAATAATGATTTGACTATTCTCTATAAAATTTTAAAATTAATTGTAGTACCTGACTAGAAGGAAGGGACTCGGATAATTGTCCAGGGCTTAATGATGCTGCATATTGATGCAGGTGAGCAGGAGACATTGATGCAGGAGCCTATAATATTATAAATTTAATAAGAACAAAAACGTAAGAATACTCTTCAATTTAAATAGCTTTTAAAATTGTACAAAGACGGATGTTATAGTTCGAGAAAGTCAAAATTAGCGGCAGAAAATAATATCAAAATTATGAAGTATATCATCATTCATTTACTGACCGTGTGGTATTTGTGTAAGTAATCCCGATTAGGTGAATGGTGTGATTTAGGTGTAGAGCGTCCGCTTACGGGTGGCGATTGACGCTCCACACTGCGCCCGCGACTCAGCAAATTCATATGTTCCAGACTACCAACACGCGATTCCAACTCCTCCGCTCGTGCCTCTGTGCTTTGCTTTTCCTCTTGAATCAATCGGATTTCATTATTGATGGCGTCCAATTGCTCTTGAAGCATCATCGCTAGTGTCTGCGCGTCCGTGTGTCCAGACGGCGACAGGATATCGGTAGCGCTGAATAAGCTTTCATTGTCATCCGCTTCTGCGTCGCTCGAGACATCGAACGCTTGTTGAACATTTGCTAAAACATGTGCCTGTTGCAATTTTTCCCATTCCTGCTCCGCCAATGTTCGAGCGCCGAACGGTAGCTTGTTCGAGTCGTCTTCCAAACCAGGCCTAGGCTTATTGACTCGTCGGGATAACGAATGAGTGTCAAAACTAGTTCTACTATCACTCCTCGCAAATGATTTAGGGTCGACAACTGCATTCGGCGAAAGGCTACGAGTCAATGCGTCCGTCTGTTGGATGTTAAATGCTATTTCTTGCTGCAACATTTGTCTTTTAATATTATCAATTTCTAAATGCGATTTGGCTAATTCTTTCATAATTTCCGTCTTTTCCGCTTGATATTCTTCTGCAATCTTACGTGCTTTTTCTAATTCTTGGGTAAGAATATTCTTTTCGTCTAAGGCGTGCATCCTTTCTTTTAAGTGCACTTGCAATCTGTCGTTTGATTCTGACAAAAGTTTATCGACAGTTGTCGACAACTTAGTGTTATGTTCTTCATTCATTTTTAGGCGCTGATTTAACCTCACCAATTCAGCGTTTTTTTCTTCCAAATTGGCTTCTAGTCTTTGTATGCGATCTTCTGCAGTGCCATGTCTTTCCTGAGCCTAAGATTAGTAAACAATACAGTACAAATACAAAATATGCTGTTTGATAGAAATGTATGTAGCACAGTAAAAAGAAATCGACCATTTGTATAAAATACATCAGATGCGATTATTTAATTTTTACAGTTGTACATACAAGATAAACAACTTAATAAACTTATACTGGATTGATAATTGAATGAATTAAAAAGGTTAAAACTAAACTAATTCTAGTGATGCGATTCTAATATATCAAAATAAACTTAAAATTATACAATAACTATATAATTTTTGTGTAAATTTTTGTGTATAATTTTTTGTGCATATATTTAGTACCAAATGAGCATTTTGAGTGAATGACAATTGTATAATTTTTTTGGTTTGTTTATGATATTGTTTGTGAAATTAGTGGTTTTGTAAAAACTATTCTAACTTTAAAACTAAAAAGAGAAAAAAGACACAGGTAGACGCTTCATCACGTTATCGTACCTGTCCCCTCACCTGGGTGAGCGCGTCCATTCTAGCTTTAAGTTGCTCCTCCATTTCTGGAAGTTTCGAAAATTGTGCTAATTTTTGTTCAGATAGCTCTAATTTTTCTTGTATAGCTGCTATTTTCTCTTCTTGCAACTGAAATGAAATGTGTCAGATAATAACGCAAAGCTATGTGCTAACATTAAAAAGCAGCAAACCTTCAGTTGTGCAATTTTATGTTGTAATTCTTGTTCCAATTTCTCATTGAGATCGTGCAGTGATGTTGACTCCCGCTGTGCATTTAGATAACGTTTTTCTAATGTTGCTATTCTTTCTTCCTGATCTTCCTTCTGGGCGACATTCTCTCGTAAATCACGCTGAAGTTTCGAGCAAGTATCTTGTGATTTTAACAATTCTTTTTGAGCTTTTGATAAATTCTCTTCCATTTCACCAATTCTATTTGTTAACTCCGCTACCCTCCTTTGCCACGAACTAATTTCATTAGTCTGTAAAAACAATCATGTGCAATAGAAAACAAATAAATGAAAATGTCTTCATCTAGGAAGAAATGATACCTTATTTGGTATTGGGTTTTCACTAGGTTCTGGCTGTCCATTTTCTTTTGTTCTTTCTTCCAAATGATTTTGTGTAGAAGGCACTGCTCCTGATTTGTATTGTGTCAACTATAAAATTTTAAAAGTAATATATATTATATAACAAATGTAAAACCATCTTATTGTTCAATTGTAAATGCATTTACTTCTTCTTTGGTAAGTGCTAATTCCTCTTCTAAGGAAGTATTCCTTTCTAAAGCGACTCGCAAACGTTCTCGAACCTGAAGTAAAAATTAACGACTTTTTATTATGCTTTTGATAAAAATACGTTTAATTAGAAACTACCTTTTCGTCTAATGCTTTGTGGTGCTCAAAAAGACTCTTCAATGCTTTAAGTACTTCTACCTCAGACGAGACTCCAGATTGTGCCGCCGCCTGACGTTTGACAACAGTCATACGAAGGGATCGCTCATGTCTGGAAACTAGACATTCCAAATGCTCCAACAGCAGCTATCAAAATAAGTTCAGAATTTAGTCTATAGTTCCACACATTAAAAGTAAAATATATGCATACATATATATTTCATATATGTATCTAGTTTGTGTTTTTACGAAACATCGAATTACATGAAAATAAAGTTTAAATTTAAACATAAAGCGTCATTACTATAAGATGAAAAGTTCGAAAATCAAAAATATTTTTGCAACCAATAACAATTAATCTCCCATATTAATTTCTCAATTGTTTTTAAGATTTGTTTAGACTCTTACCCTTGTATTATTCCGTTCAGCTTTAAGCTCGGAAATTTCTTCTTCCCGCTCCAAAAGATGTTCCCTAGCTTGATTTAACTCTTTGGTAAGTGTGGCAAATTCCTACAGTAAACAAATATTTTATGGTTAAAGTTATAAACAATAATTATTATTTACATTATTACGTATTCATCGAGAGATTCAATTATAAAGCAAAAAAAAATTAGATCAAAAGTAAACTAGGAGATTCCAGAAAATGTGAAGAAAAATCTAATTTATTTTGTTGTTTAGAGCAGGGGTCGGCAAGCTTTTAACTGTGGTGTGCCGAGCCACTCTACCAATATGATTCAGGGTGCCGCCTGAATTCTGAAATATATAACCAGGTTCTGGGGGAGAAGAATTATAACCAAATTTATCTTTTAAACATTTTTATTAACTAGTGGGGTGCATGGCATCGTGCCTTAATTCAAATTGCTAGAACTTCCCATACTGAAATTAAAAATCATGGTACTGAACCCAAAAAAAATTACACAAAATATGTACACAGTATTAAAATCTCTATAAAATATCTGATAATTTGATGTACATAAGTCCAATGGGTGTAAAAATACTACAATGTTTATGAAAATACTACAATGGGTGTAAAATTACTACAATGTTTGTAAACAATACTACAACGGGTGTAAAAATACTACAATGGGTGTAAAATTACTACAATGTTTGCAAAAATACTTCAATGGGAGTAAAATTACTACAATGTTTGTAAACAATACTACAATGGGTGTAAAAATACTACAATGGGTGTAAAATTACTACAATGTTTGCAAAGATACTACAATGGGAGTAAAATTACTACAATGTTTGTAAACAATACTACAATGGGTGTAAAATTACTACAATGGGTGTAAAAATACTACAATGGGTGTAAAATTACTACAATGTTTGTAAAAATACTACAATGGGAGTAAAATTACTACAATGTTTGTAAACAATACTACAATGGGTGTAAAATTACTACAATGGGTGTAAAAATACTACAATGGGTGTAAAATTACTACAATGTTTGTAAACAATACTACAATGGGTGTAAAATTACTACAATGTTTGCAAAAATACTACAATGGGAGTAAAATTACTACAATGTTTGTAAACAATACTACAATGGGTGTAAAATTACTACAATGGGTGTAAAATTACTACAATGGGTGTAAAAATACTACAATGGGTGTAAAATTACTACAATGTTTGTAAACAATACTACAATGGGTGTAAAATTACTACAATGTTTGCAAAAATACTACAATGGGAGTAAAATTACTACAATGTTTGTAAACAATACTACAATGGGTGTAAAATTACTACAATGGGTGTAAAAATACTACAATGGGTGTAAAATTACTACAATGTTTGCAAAAATACTACAATGGGAGTAAAATTACTACAATGGGTGTAAAATTACTACAATGGGTGTAAAATTACTACAATGTTTGTAAACAATACTACAATGGGTGTAAAATTACTACAATGTTTGTAAGCAATACTACAATGGGTGTAAAATTACTACAATGTTTGTAAACAATACTACAATGGGTGTAAAAATACTGCAATGGGTGTAAAATTGATATGTGGAACCAAAAGGTGAAAGGATAACGCATGCAATTTTCTTTAAACAATTAAATATTTCCGACAATGTCATCCAACAATTTAATTTTCCATGGAGTCGTCTTCCTGATTTTTTCGTAATTCCTTAAATTTTGTTTTCCATAATTCTAAAGATATTAGTTCCATAATTTCCATTTCAAAATCATCAACATTCATCCACTCAAAAATTGAAAAATCAAACGGTATTATTGATGGATCTATGAAATCTGGTTTTATGAGGAAGGAAAATTTAGGCACATAAGCTTTAAAGTCTTTGCATCTGGAAAATTCATCTTTAAGTGCTTCAATGTAGATTGAATTACATTAGCGAGCTACATTAGATAAGTAATTATATTTCAACATTTTTTCTTATTTAAAAATCACTTCGTCTCGATATATTTGCGATTGCCCTGATTATTTTGTAGAGTGCCATGCAGAACGCCGTCGCGTGCCAAGCCTGGCACGCGTGCCGTAGGTTGCCGATGCCTGGTTTAGAGTATATTATGTGATTATATGTTTTTTAATTTATCGAAAGAATCGAGACTTTTGAAACTTTTTTACTCACAAGAAAATATAGTAATTCAAAACATAAATCACCATAAAAACTAATCAATGAAATACATGAAACTAAAGAAAAAGAAATAAAATACTATAAAATACTATTATTTCAATATATAAAAGTATTGCTACTGTAATAATATTAAAAAATTTCAACGCTCATTCGGTAGTTTAACGATTTTAAGAAACCATTTTTCAGTATTTACGAAATTTAAAATTAGAGCTTTTAAAAATTATAAAAAAGTAATTACGATTTAAAAAAGAAAATAGCGTGCTTTTTCGAGACCTCATAACAAAAAAAATGCAGCTGAAAATATTATAACAATAAAAAATAACATTTTAACAATAATAAAATAACAATTTTAAGAAGCCAATTTTTAGTGTTTTCAAAAACTAGTGCTTTTAAAAATTGTAATAAGAAAATTACAAATTAAAATAAAATTGGTATACTATTTCAAGAAATCGTTACATAAAAATCTGCTGAAATTATTGCTTTAAAAAAGTATTTTGAAAGAAAAAGTATATATTGAATTTATATTCTATGGTGAATTCTAGAATGACCAAAGTTATTATAACTTCTGATCCTATTAAATCATACTTGAATCTTTTTCAATTTTGTCAATCATTTTAGCAACAGAAGTTTTAAAAAAATTAGAGCAAAAATGCATCATTAGAAAAAAAGCTTTTCTTGGCAAATATATATCCGCTATAATCTTTAATAGTTGTCAGTATTGGATTGAAAAACTGAACTTCATATTCAAGAGCTAGCAGAACAGGACCATATGGAAGACTTACTTCCGAAAGGACTTCAGTAAATTATTCAAAAACCGCTTCAATATCAGTAAATGTCTTCAAGCTCATTTGAAGAATTATATATATTTGACTTGATAACGCAAAGTATCTCAATTAGTTTCGTGATTGTATAATCTCCAAGTACGTGAGACAAATGAAACAAATGAAGTGGTTATTATGGGTTAAGGATCATTCCATTTAAGATTCGATTATTACCCATTCGTTATAAAAAAAACATTAGTAAACCTGTAGACAGAGTCATGTAAATATTTTGTTGTATAACACTGTAAAGTAGTATTGTTTCTGGATTCATAAACCGCAATCCGTAAGCTTGATATTAAAATTCCTACTATGAACTTAGATTGTAAAGACTCGAGGAAATCATAAAATTGATCACTATTTATAGCATGAAGCGGAAAGTATACTGCGGAAACAGTTACATCATATGATAAAAGTTTACCTTATTAGAAATAGCTTGTAAACATTTATCTGATTATCACCGTAAACTGTGCCATCTGAATGAATAATATATTAGAAAGTGTAATAAGAAATAAATTTTAATATTTCATTTAAGGAAATTTCACTTGTAGTGACTAGTATACTTAGATTTAATGAGAAAGATCTTTATGCTGGGTCAAAGAATTTCATAGATACATTCTGATAAACCTAGTGATTTTACGTACGAGATGGTATATAACCATAAAGTTTTATCTCACGGTCGTCAACTTCCCGATTTGAATGGTTCAAAAATCGTTATTCGATTCCTATTGGTAGGAAGATGTGCTGATTAATTTTGGCAAAGGCAGGTCCAGCCGTTTTGGAGAATTGAAGCAAATTTTATTACGCATATTTCATTACGGTACGGGAAGTTCAAGCAATTTGCCTTAAGACACGATGCCATATACCACTAACTCTAAATTCATTTAGAAGCTGAGTGAGCCATGTAAACAGTTAAAAATTATGAGGATTGTATATTATTGATTTTAGGTTTTGAATTATTCGCATTATTCTTAACAGATTGAGGAATTGGAGAGTAGTAGCACCATTATGTCTATCTAAATTAAGTAAAGAAATTACAATTAGGATACAGTTTAATCATTCAAAAATAATTTCCAAAAATTAAATCACCAAGGGCTTCGCCAAATCAAATTTAAAAAAAAAAACAAAAGTTTTTGAAAATCCTTCACAAGATATGCGAAATATTATTTTATCTTGTGTCTGTCTCGGGTATATAAATAAAAAAATTCTATCTCGTAATGCGGGACTCCAAATAAAAAAAATTCTATCTCGTAATGCGGGACTCCAGTTTCCCTTCAGAGCTAATACCTTTTTCTTCTTTTACAAAAAAACAATGTGTAATGCGGGTGTATTTTCATTCACATCCAACGAGGTCAAAAATGTGCCATAAACAATATAAGTGATAATGATGAAAGATAACGATTACAAGCACCAGAAATGACAGCTGGTAAACAATTTTGATCAATACTTATTATCAATGCTTCACAAATATGCATCGACTGATACAACATTATCTAGGAGGTAAAATATTATTATCTCGACCATGATGAGCACGTGGATTAGCAATCACTGGTTCCGGTTTGGTTCCCATGTTGGCCAGCTTGATAGCAAGCAGTAGTAATATAAGCTATTCACTTGGTATTATAAATATCAAATATGATTTCGAGTAAAAATAGCACTTCGAGGCACTGCTGCGCCACTATTAGATATATCTATTATAATCCGCTGGTTCTTATCGGATAAAACCTGATCAAAGCGGGCCAGGTCATCATCATCATCACTAACACTATCTATACGAGGAATGCAACATATTTTTATAAAGAAACACCAATAATATCTTACAATTATCGAATTTGTTTGAGGCACTGCATTGCCATGGTGGAATACAATTGCTTCGCAATTTCTCTATAACCTGATTAAAATTAACTCGCATCAATTTGTTTGTATGCTTCAAATTAGGCGTGACATTTCATTTTCGAGTCGGAACAAAATAAGTCGAATCAACGAGTCATCCTATTTCGGGCCACAGTCAAAAGTATCAAATAGATACAAGATTTCAGTAGAAGGCGCGACGTTTTGCAGACTTATGGTTCAGTTCAACTGCATATCGATGA